ACGAACGTCGTCGATGGCCAGACACCTAGACTGCCAGAGATTGGGGTCCTAGGTGCAGTGCTCGCCAGAGGGGAGGTAGGGCGGCCGCCCTAGCTTGCCATATAGGTGGCTCCGCCTTTGTTGTCAGGTCTAGAACAGATCTAAAACACATTTTGATGTGATTTGGAAGGGGTTTTGACTCTTTGATGGATAATACCACCCCCACCTTATAAGTATATAAGGTCCACGGTCGATTGAGGTGCCCAACATACACAATTGTCACAAAAACCAATCTACAACCTCTCTTTACCCTTTCTTCCCCTTTACTTCTCCTCATTCTTTGTCGACTTGCATGGACGGTGGATCGATGACGATGAAGCTCTTCAGTGGCCAGGTCATACTTGTTGTGTGTCGTTACGTAGAATCGTGGCCTTCTTTTTATGTAGAAATACAAGTTTGCTTTAGATTCAATGAATGGTACTGTTTATGTTTTGATCATTGATGCTGAAGATGCTAACTTGATGGTTGGTCGTTCATTTCAAGTGGCAAGTGAAGATATGTCTTCTTCCATGTGCTTAGCATTGAAGTATGGTCTGAAGATGATGACCGTTACCAATCTGTTCGTGCGGACAAGGTTTAGCCACTGTAGTGCCATAGTGATGGTGGAAGTTAGGGGTGGATCTAGCGGTGAGGGGGGCTCAAGCCCCCCTACCGCCGCTGATCCTATGGAGCCCTCATGTGTCATCAAAGCTTGGCATGTCATATCGTACTCCGCAGGAGTGTTCGTTGCCTTGCTTCTACACTTCAACCAAGTCCTATACATGGAGAAGCCACGGGCCAAGACGATCATTTTCATCACGATTTTGAGATCTAGGGCGTCAGATCCTATCTGTGGGAATGGCCACCAATGAATGTATTGCACCGGCTAATTATTTCTGCTTGTAGCCGGTGGCTGAGTCCTAGGGTCCTACGAAATCAGCACGGAGTGAGCATATTGGCTAAAAGGAGGTGTATATTGATCATTCGATGAAGGGGTTTACCTCATTATCAGACTTGAAGCCCTCGTCCAACAGTAAGCAGTAGACCCGGTAGATTCACAAAATAGGTGGGAACACCATTCTTGCCACCATCCATCAAACAGAGTTGAGCTTAAAGGAGTTTTGTTTCACTCAACCAAGGCTATTAAAGGAAGAATTGACTCAATTTGACAGATTTTGGTGATTTCTATCCGGTCTTTTATACTCTCTCTTGGCCTTAATTTGTCAGCAAAGAAAAGTTGAGGAGGTAGTTGCCCAAGACCGAACTGGCGAGCTATGAACGATGGATTGTAAAATTCGTAGGTTGGCAAGTCAGCGGGAGTTTTTAGTCTAGCGCCAGACTTGCATCGGTTGTGCCAGAATTCAACAGGGAGAAAACAGGGTTTAATCAGGCATTCAAAAATCTGTGAGGACTATTGATCTGAGCAGTCTGTTTCAAACCAGAATTTATATGGGAGCTCGAGTTCATTGTCCTCATTATCATAAGGTAACCAAAAAATGATGTCTTCGCTAAACCCTTTGTAAAACTTCCTGAAGAAGTGGCAGATGTCAAGGTCAATTTCAATCGCTGACGCTGCTTCGCCATAAGATGTGCATCGGCGGATCTTTTCTGATTCGTCCCCTTTAAAGTCTTCGGCAAAATCCAAAGAAGAGAAATTTAGATCTCTGAGGTTGAGAGTCACAACTTTGTGCAAGTAGAGGTTTAACCAAAGTTGGATTAACCACCAAGGACCACTGATTGTGCCGATCAGCTCATAATTTAGTAACTGCACTGATACTTGGTGCATCAGATAGTAAGTCGATCCTAGCAAATATTTTCCTAGGGGGATGTCACCACCAGCTACCAGACGCTCTGCCAAATATTGATGGTTTATAGTTGGGCCACAGGATGATCCATAGAAAATGAATTTCTCCAACCACATGTTTAGGAAGGCTATGTGTTCTTTTTCATCAGCAGTGGCGGTGGTCTTCTTATGGCTTGTGATATAACTAGACCATCCTCCAATTCCTCTAAATTTATCAAGCTTGTTGGATCCTTTATTGAGGAATTCATAAGGGGAGATGGGACATGTTACTCTAAGACCGGTAAGCATGAAGATGTTCGCCAAGGTTACAGTCATTGGGCCATGGCCGAAGAGAAAGGCATTGATAGCATCAGACCAAAAATAAGAAGTAGAAATCAAAAGGCATTCATTCCTTTCCATGGTTGATAGGGAGAGTGTTAAGCATTGACTTAAATCTCTGGATTCCCAATCACCAAATTTCTTGTTTCATACACGGCGGAACCAATCCCTCCATCCTGTTGCTATCTTCGGCCAGGTTCTAAAAGCTTTATTCCAATCTGTCAGCTTCATCTGGGATTGCTTAAAAGGAAGTCGCTGTATTTTTAATTTAACAAAATCAATTAGGTCTGGATTTCCCATGGATCCCAGATAGTAGGCATGATCAACATTAGCCAGTGGGATCAAAATTTCATTTCTTAATTCCTAGAAACAAGAAAATTATATCTAGATAAATGTTCTCTACTACTCGACCAATTTGAAAAAAATGGTAGAAAGCTTGTAACCAATTTGCCGAACTCGACCAATGGTAGGGGGTGGGGGGCTTAAGCCCCTTCTACCACCGCTGATACCATGGAGCCCCTCAAAGAATTTTTGCCATGGTTACTTTGAGGAGGAGAGGTTGGAGGATGAAGATGACGATAAACTCACAACTTCAGCCTCCCTAAACTTTCATCCTAGATCCATGGAAGTATTTGGTGGTATGTATGTCATAGTTATCTTTCTGATTAAGGCTGGTTATGTCTAGTGTTTGTTTGTGACTTGAACTAGTAACTTGGAACTTGTAGTTTCTAATATCTTTATGTTTGTTTGAAATATATTACTGCTCTGTTTGTTGTTTTCTTTCCCTTTATGCTTTTGTCTTGCACTCCTTGCTTATTTAAGTTCAAATTACATGCAATTGTAGTGTATTTTACTATTCATTTTGATGTGTAATCTTTTTGATCCTATAGTGTATGTTGCTACTGCATTATTTAGAATGCTCTTTTGCACTATTTGTCTTGTTCTTTGATTTTTTTTTTCGATTTTTATGAGTATTTATTTGTTTTTATCTCACTTTGAAATTCTTCCAATTTGCCCTTCATAGAAATAATCTGGTATTGTTTTGGCCTTTTTATTTGAAATCTGTATGCTTTATTTGCTTTCCCTTTGAAATTCTTCCAATTTGTCCTTCATAGAAATAATCTGGTATTTTTTTGGCCTTTTCATTTGAATTTTGTATGTTTTATTTACTTTTCCTTTGAAATTTTCCAATTTTCCTTTCATAGAATTAACATGTTATTTTTTGGCCTTTTTAATGAATTTTTGTTTATTAGATTTGGTATTATTTTGAAATTTCGTTAATTTGCCTTTGTTATGTACTCTTTCTATTTATTTTATTAGCTTGGTAAAATTGAGTGTTTGGAAAGGATCTGACACTCACTCGGTTGTCAGATCCTAAAACACCCGAAAGACTGACTCTATACAAAATCCTTCAAAGCTCCCCAAGTCCGTATAAACGAAGATGTAATAATCGCTGTTCGGGCAATTCACATGGGCGACGAGTCAAATCATTAGATTAGATGGCGACGCCATTGCTAAACGATACAATGACACAGGCAAAATACCTCTGCAGCAGTGCCGGCGGCCTTGGCACGCCGACTATGCTGGCCCCCGCGCGCCGCCCGCAGCCGCACCACCTACTCCGTCCTCCTCGACAACGATGACGTCCCGCTGCCGCCGCCGACTGGTCCCTCGACGACGCCGCACGCGCCGTCGGTGCCTACGCAGGTAGAGGAGGAACGCGAGGAGGCCGAGCAGCAGGGCGAGGCTGCGGACGAGGCGGCGGCGGCTCCATCTCTTTCTCGGCGGTGCCTCTCCTCCGCCCATCGCTGCTCTGCCGCGCATGGTGTTGTTTGAACCGGGCGAACGCAAGGAATGTTTAGGAGGGAGGGAGCTGATGATTTCAGAGATTGAGGATCGTGTGTCGTAGCTATAAAGACTACGTGGTACGTGCGGTGTTTTCTTGCAGGGACAGTTAGGAATCCCAGTTCAGGTCCGTCCGGGCCTCGCAAGAGTGTGGGGACACGGATCACTGATTTTTAAGTGAAAAGATAGCAAACACGTGCTACAAAAATCACATAATCGATCTGTTTTGAGAATTTTTTCTTGAACGTAAAAGTGTCTGCTTAATTTAGGTCTTATTTAAATCCATGATGTAAAGTTTTGGATGCCACATCGGGTGTCATATGGGTGTTTAGATATTAATAAAAAACAAATTACATCCATCAGTAATCCGCGAGACGAATTTATTAAGCCTAATTAATTCATCATTAGCGCATGTGTTACGGTAGCACCATATTGTCAAATTATGGACTAATTAGGCTTAAAAGATTCATCTCACAAATTAATCGCAAATTGTGTAATTAGTTATTTTTTAAGTCTATATTTAATACTCCATGTATGTGTGCAAATATTTGATGAAATAGGAAGTAAACTTTAGATGATGAATTAAACAAGGCTTTAGAGAACTTTATTTATTCGAATGATGAAACACGAGAACCAAAGTAGCAGGATTATCATCCACAGGAATTTAACCGTGCGGATCCTGTCCTAGCCCGGCACTACAGCACTACACTTGACATTAGAGCAACACGGCAGCATTTCCCAGTGTTGTCCACACGAGGACACGACTGACACAAGACCCGTCAGAGTCTTTTATTCGGTCGCCGTACATAGGTGGTGTTTAGATTTAGGATGTAAAACTGTGATATAGTGTAAAGTTTTGGCGGAGGAATTAATCAAGGGCATAGGACCACTACTACTTCGCAGCTGCAGCAGCTATATATGTCAGCACGTACGCACGCAATTAGACACGTGAATGAAGCACAAAACACTACACCAGCGGCCGGCCCTGCTGGATTGGAGCTCACCGGTCTCATCATCACTTCTTGCACACCAGGCCAGTGGTGACCTTGCCGCTGCCGCAGAGCGCGTCGGTGGGCTCCGCGATGATGCCGACAGCGGGCCCGGCGAGCCCGTTGTCGTCGTCACCAGCGAAGCGCCCGACCTCGCAGTCCGTGGCGAAGATGCCGCCGGACACCTGGTACCTGGCGGCGCCGCCCATGACGGGGACCCTAGCGCCGGCGTCCACCCCGGCGGCGCTGACGTAGTCCAGGCGGTACGTCTGGCCCAGCACGCCGTGCACGTCGGCGCTGAGGGCGTAGAACTTGAACGCCACGTTGAGGTGCGCGAGGCTGCCGTCGACCTCGGGGCGCAGGCCGTACCCGTGGACCCTCGAGTCCTCCTCGGTGACCGGCACAGCGTTGGCCACGATCCGGAACACCCCGTCCAGGCGCACCACCACGCCGTTGGCGGGGCCCGTGCGGAAGATGGACAGCGCGGGCGCCGCCGACGTGGGGGGGCTCCAGCTGGCGCTGGCCACGGCGTCCAGCGGGACGGGCGCGCCGTCGAAGGTGATGGCCAGGCGGTCCACGGCGTCGTCCCAGGTGTCCGTCCTCCGGACTCCGAGGTACAGCCGGTGCCCGCCGAAGCGGATGCCCAGCGCCTGCACCCAGGTGAAGTCACGCGCCACGCCCGCGTTGTTGCGCTTGCCGATGAAGTGCGCGTTGATGTGCAGGTTGGCGTCCGACAGCAGGCAGAAGTCGGCGTCCCGGCGGCCGTGGAATAGGAACTTGTTGCCGTCGCCGCCCACGAAGCGCGGGTCGTAGCACTCCGTGCCGGTCAGCTCACACACTGCTCAAAATCACGAACTGATCAAAATCTTTGAGCAGGATAGAGCGAATGCGTAGAGTATGTATGTGTGGACGCTAGCTTACGGCAGACGAGCTTGCAGGACGGGCAGTGGACGTAGCAGGTGTCCCGGCAGCCGCGAGGGCACTGGAGCGCGAGGACGTTGCACTTGGGCTCCGATCCTTGCTGCCCATGGGTGTCGTTGTAGCAGGTCACGTAGGTAGGGGGGTATACGGGGATCACGTTGGGGTCCGACGAGATGGGGTTCTTAGGGTCCATCGGCTGGGCTCCCACTGCCGCGGCGAGGAAGGAGGCGATCAGGGCCACGGCGAACCGCCGGACGGACGCCATCCTCAGTTTGGGTGCCGGGCTGCCGGCTGAGACCGGAGATGAGACGACGATGATAGGTGAAGGTGGACACGCTGATGTGAGTGGCACGGTGTGTAATAGGCCTCCTTTATAGTCGGGGGTGAGGGGTGCAATGCGATATTGTCTCTGACTAGCAACAGTGTCGTTGGAACCAAGCATGGCTTTTTCATGGATCATCAAGTCTCGGGAAGTCAACTGTTCACCCGGATCACATGAAACGATTCCATGCTTGTCATGCCGGGGAACACAGGCGAGAGGGATAGTCAGAAGATGAAACGAACTGATGAAATCTAGCTGTCTGTTTTGTTCTTGATAATGGTGTGGAGTGACATCCTCTCCACGTTACCACAAACAGAATATACATGGTCAGCATCTGCAAAGAGAATTTAACTGTCCGGCTGCTACTAAGGCAAAGGAATACGCACCGCGGCACCGATTCAGCTTCGAGTTCTGAGAACCATGATACTGCTAAAACTTCAGAAACTCCGCATCTCTCTAAACCAAGGTTTGGCACATATCTTGTTCTAAAATCAAAGATTGTTGACAGTTGATACTACAATTTCTCAAAACCACAACATCCAAATATGGCCTTGCTTGGATGTACTTTTCGAAAATTGTGATATTATAAGCCAAAGATATACAAGACCGTGGGGTTTTGAAAAAGAGGTCATGAGTGAGAGTTACTAAAAACTCCAAAAACTACACAGTTTTAACAAAACCATGGCTTCATAAACTACAAGATTTGTTATATCCAAACAGTCCGTAGCTTTTAAAAACCACGTATTCTGCAAGACCGTAATTTTCTCCAATGCTCCAAAAATACTTTGCATCCAAAGAGGGCTAGGTAGGTGTAAATGGAAAAACACATGAGTACGGTACAATCTTTAGGGGGAGGTGTAGTTGTGTAGGGAACGACCCTAGATGCACATGTTGCAAAGAAATTTTAGCTTTATTAGCTGCTATAGTATCGTGGTTCAGGTTTAGGCGTTTCGGATGTTACTCTCCAAACAAGTCATCCCGGGTCTGGACCACACAGCTGAGCTACCGTTGGAGTTTGCATATTGCACACAACGTGTATTGTAAATCCACAATTTGCATAGGTTGAGTGTGTTTGCCAACTTACTCCACTAATACAGAAAACACAAACTGTCGAGGCTATGAAATAGCCATAATCTAAATAGGCACTCGAACAACGGGGAGGACAAGTGGCTGTCATAAATCACAAAGTGGAATGTAACTGTATCATCACCAGATACATGATTTTAACATTTTGCAGGTATGTATAAGCAAATCGCTTGTTAGCAAATTAAGTGGCTAGTTGGAGGCAGAGTATTGTGGAAGTTAAAAAGTGTGTGGCATTGCTGATAACACACCTCAAGCAACAATATTTCTCAAGTCTGAAACAATGATACTAACCTACCAAAAGAACCACTTCTTCCCAGCTGGAGGTTTTGTCCTCTCCCCTGTAGAACTTTGGTTCTCTCGTTTTGCCATGCCATGGTTCAGTGCTTCTAGCCTTTTCCTGCAAAAAACAAAATTACAGATTTAGAAGTATACAAGTACAGACTGTTCAGACAATGGATACTTTCATTTGAAGCAAGCATTGAAGCACTTTAGTGACAGTATATATTGCTTTGTTCAGTAACTTGCAGACAGTAGTTCTGCACTCTTTAGTATACTATTTCAGAGCAAATGCCACATCGGTAATATGTTGGCAAAACCAAAACAGAAATTCAATAAGGAATATTGATTAATCAAGAAGGTAAAGCAACAATGTAGATGGACAGTGATGACAGGAATAAGAAACTATGTACCACTGTAAAGATGTATCAAGTCACTTGAGGGCGGAACTATACGTACCTGTGTATAATCAATTAAATTTGCTTTCCTGTTAATGATCACATAGCGTTTCTGGGCACAATACATAACTGAAGCTTGGCCAAAGTTGGCATGATCATTTCAGATGCTTGATTTTGTAAATTAGATCATTATTGGGATTTGAATTATGAAGCTACTGGGTTTATGTTGATCATTGTCATTCCAAATCAGAGAGAGGTAAGTACCATTAGGCCACTATGTCATAGTTCATATTTACTAGAAAAATCCTTTCAAACTGTTATAGAGTAACAGAAATTAACACAAGCTAGTATGTGACTAGTACAGAATCAAAACAACTACCTTGTATCTTCAAGCTGTCCGTGCAAGCTCCATCTCTGTCGAAATCCTTCCATACCCTCAAGTCCACTAGCAAGAATCATGCGCCTACAAAGGCATATAAGACCACATGCAAGCAGAATAAAAATGCATGAATGAGTCAATAGGAAATTCAATATGGTTCACGATTCCCTCCATTTACTGTACTGTAACTAACATTAAACAAAATAAAATGCCTCCAATTCTAAAATAAAGTTAAAAAAAAAGGGTGTACCCAGTGCAGAGAGCTCCCGCTCTGTGCGGGGTCTGGGGAAGGGTGTCAGTGGCAAGCCTTACCCTCGCCTGTGCAATGCGAGGAGACCGCGACTCGAACCCGGGACCTTCCGGTCACAGGGGGTAAGACTCTACCGCTTGCACTAGGCCCGCCCTTCAATTTTAAAATAAAGTTATGTAATATTATTTTAAATCAGATCCACATGCATATTTAGGGAATTTTTTATTACTTTTGCCCTCTTTTATTTAAGAATTTTATTTGACCTCTCAGCATTTATGAATAACATCCACACTAACCATTGTATCTACTATCACGTGGTCCCAAGAGATTTAACACTAAGGATCCCAGACATGTCACTTCACATTCTCTTTGTTTGTCACCTAATTCTTGTGCTTGACCAAAATATGCCTTACAAAAATGAAACCAACAGGGTACAGCTGTAAAATATCATCAGGGCTAGTTTTACTAGCGCATTCTTTTGGAATGTCTGGTGTTACTCGTATGTGTGTGGAACACCAGAATAAGCACTACTTGTCCAAACAAATAATTGGTGTACACATGAAGGTCTAGGGGCTCCTTCCTACAATAACAGTATGCTAAGTAGGATCTGTGCAGCTATCTCAAATGCCAAAAGATTCGCTCAGGATTTGGTGAAACATAGGATTTTAGGGGGTGTAGGGGGCTATGAATCTAATCTAAAAGCACAGAAGCATACTGTACAAAGATGTTTACATTGTGTGTTTTGTTTTTCATGATTCATGATTCTTTGGCAACAGTCAATAGAGCTCTGTGAGGTCAAGTAGAAAATTTATCCTAAAAATAGATATAGGAAAAATAAGAAAATATGTATTTGGCACAATCAAGCTAACATGCATTTAGAGCAGCTATGATCTGTTGTTTCTCATTAAGAGCCTGGGCCTAGGATCTCAGGAACTTGGTCTTGGGAGTAGTCTAGTTTTTCTTTCTCCCTGGTTCTAGTGGTCATCTCTCTCCTATCCGTGGTGTGATTGTTCTTATTTTCTAGTGCATGTGGATATGTGGAGTGTGTGCGCCATGTTTTCTGTACTCTCTGTTACTATTTCCTTTTTAATGAAATGACACATAGCTCTCCTGGGCGTTTAAGACAAAAAAAAAGAACATTAATGTTTAAGGTAGACAGAACACACTTAGCTTCCTAATATGTTGGAGGATTAGACTTGATAGAAATGGTTGCCGGCATCCCATTATGTTTACTACCATTACTCTCCAAAAAATATGCAATTCACCCCAGTAGTGTTGCATAAGCTTTTGCTCATAAAAGAGTCAATTCCTATATTGAAGCTTGCTACAATGCAATTAAATCTAATAGGTGCAATAACTGTCAAAGCAACGAGGAAAGCAAATAGTTGTATGCTATGTAAGCATCAAATGGCTTAATAATGGATTATGTGACAAAATCACAAACTAGACTACCACGTCCACAGGACAAATATTTCGTATGGGAGTTTAGACATCCATTGATATAGAAGGTTACATCAAATTTTAAAAACACTACCATATGTATTGGTGAATCTTCTGAAAGCTTGTTGGATCAGTATACACACTTGGATTATCCAGATTAATGGTGAAGAAATTAAAATTCCAATGCACATGTTCATGCCAGACTCCTTACCTAGTTACTAGTGTCAATGGAGAGGAAAAACCTTGATACAAATACATTCCTTGTTAAGTGTATCACTCCACTACAGTTCCTAAATGTTTTATGAGAAAAAAAAACTTTGAAGGTTCATATAGCAGATAGGATCATAGGAATACCATTTCACAAGCTGCTTATCACATGATCATGCTATGATTGATTAAAGGGAAACTCGTCAGTACTGGACTACCTTTCTAGCAGTGTTACTTCTGATTGGAGTTGAGTAGCTCTCTCCTTCGCTTGTTCCAGGGGCATTGAAAAACCCAATTTATATTCACTATTTGGCATCCGCTCTCTTATTTCCTTGTCCTGTTATAAGACACAATGCTGTACTGTTGAATAAACACCAAATAAGATCAGGCATGGCCAAATGGTTTTAGTATAACTAACCCTTTTCTCAGCACATTGTCGGTATAACACAATTTCATCTTGGCAGAATGGCTCAATATCATTGATTTGTAGGCCTGGACAATAGAAATAATGTTTTTTCTATAGAACACTTCCTTCACAAATGCACACGGAATAAGAGAAACATGATATCAATGTCACAAAGACCAGTTACTCACATAAGAAAAGGTTCCTGAGTATACCATCACAAAGCTCAACACCTTCAAGGACATGTGATGCGATCTCTTTCGGTATGACAGGGGATGGCGGCCCGCGCATGAGATCATCACCAACAAGGATGGTCTCCTCCATTGTTTCTTGCTTATCAACTGTAAGAAAAATAGTCATGAGAAATTGACCGCATGATACAGAAGCTATAATCATTCCACAAAGTTGAAGGCTGCAAACTGCGGTTGGATTCAGCAAAACTGAGGTACTCACTATAAACTGAAGATTCAAATTGTTTTCCTACTTGTTTATATTCTTTGATGGCATAAATCAACTACTTGCATAATCAGCAAAAGAGCTTTTTATCATCCACATCTCATTCATTTATAAATACGAAACCTATTCTGCTCAATGTGTTGCAGCGCAACATTGCGCGCATTGTGCGCCCCTTCTATACTCCTTTTGCAATTAAACTTTACTACTTCGTTCCCAGATTACGTGCTATTTCCACAAGCAGTTCTTATATTAACCTGCCTGACATCACCTTTAGCACAAGGGCTTGGCACCTAGCTAACAAACCATTTAACAAAAATCTTACTCCCAACCCAACACTAGTAACCGGCTACCAATCTATCTGACTACTCCCCAAAATTGACACCACATAACTTATGTAAATAGGGATGAAACTGGATCGGATACGAACGGATATTGCAGATCCCAAATACGTAGTGTTGGATGCAGCAGATATTAATAACTATTCCATATACATATAAGAAATCTAACTTTGACTATTCGGATTAGGAAATAGTACGGATATTAAATGTCCAGATTCATATACGGATTATCCATGTAGTCTTTTAAGCCCTTTCAGGACAGACAGATTCCAGGAAATATCCGTCCCATTTTCTTCCCTACATGTAAGTAACAAAATGGGAACAGAAAGAGAGAAGGTGTGCCCTTACCATCCATGGTGGTTGATTAAGCTCGCACACCCCCAGTGAACAAGCAACCTGAGTCAGTTAACACCGAAAACCCTGCAGCAATGGTGGGAGAGGGTCATCAAATATTTTTTACAACCTAAAATCTAATATTTGGCAATGTATAATACCATAGTAGTAATTGTATAATCACAGCAGATATAACACATATTTAAGCACGATTTCATAGAATTGAGCATAACTTGAAATTGTTTAACATAGAAGTACCAACTGTTCAACATATCAAAGTGACAACGTCTGGAATATAGAGAGGTTATGAAACAACAAAAATGATAAAAAAAAACTTACACTCAACTTGCTCTAAGCAATTCTCACAGGTTTTAGCCCTACTCCTTCGAAGTCATTGACAAATTGACTCCAGCCGATTGAGTGATTTACCAAATTAATATCTTACAAATTCAATTCACTGGAGCTGGTGGACAGGATAGGTGGAGTGGTAGCTCACTGCCTCACTGGCTCTGCTCCAATCGGCAATCGCCCGTCGCCTTGGCCTCTCGGTGCCGCCCAGCGCCCAGCCGGCCGCGGAGGCTCCAATCTGCAGTGGCTCACTGGCTCTGCTCCAATCGGCGGAGTGGCAGACCGCCGAACACCCTACGCTGAGCGCTCGGTGCTCGAATGCCCACCCTACACGCCAGGCGCCGCCACCCGCAGTCCCAGGTCACCGCCGTCCGCCGCAGCCGCCAGGGTTTTGGAAATGTGGGGGAGAAGAGAAACGGGAGAAGACAGAAGACAGAAGGACCGAACCAGTCGGCGACTCGGGTTACTCGCGTGTGTGCCTGCGCGTGGGCCCTTGGCTGCGGGGCAGGCTGGGAGAAGCTGGGCCTATGGCTAATGGGCCTTGTTGGGTCTGCGCGTAAGGGTTTCTGCGAGGTGCAGTATAAATAGCGGCTCCTCAAACCTCACTAGCCCCTTGCTCGCAGAAACCCTCCGCCGCCGCCGCGCCGCTACTTCTCGGCTCGTTCCTTCCACGATCCAGGTACGTCGTCTCAATCCTCTCCTGTTTTTACGTATACTGGTTCCTGTTTACGTGTCCTTTTTCGGGATCATTGCAGCGAGCGATCTGATTGTTGGTGTTGGGGTTTGTTAGTGCTGGTATATTTGGTGCAAAATGCATGGTTTCAAGTGTTATATTGACGCTGTAGATTAGATTTTTTTTAGGCGAAAGAGAGGAGTTTTGCGATGCTTTTTGGTTGTGGAGGTTTGGGTCTGGATGAGATGTTTAATTTGTGCTCTGTACTCTGATCGAATGTTGACAATTAGGACTAATTATTTTTGGCTTGTGTTATCGAATTATTAGCCTGGTTTTACAAGCAGGCGAAACCATGGTTAAGATTTGTTGCGCCACTTAACGCTCTCTATAGTAGATGTGTCTCGGTTTATATCGATTCATGTATCCGGATTATGGAGATCCGATGGATATTTCCTAGTGGTGTATCACCCCTTACTTTCAAACACTTAACTTCATTGTTTTGCAATTACACGTAGATTTCCCTTTTCTTATAGATTTGCTATGTGGTTTCAATTTGATTTGTAGGTTAATTTGTATAATCATGTCATTGAGTTTGCTGAATGTACTCATGTTAATTCACTATAAGTCTTAATTTAGTTACTTTCATTCATGGTGCTAAAAATATGGACTAATTGTGACACTACTTTTGGCTTGAGCAGGATGAAGTTTGTTGCTGCCTATCTGCTTGCTGTCCTCGCTGGTAACAATGACCCCTCTGTGGAGGATCTGAAAACTATTCTGGAGTCAGGTTCTACATTTAACTGAATACCCGTTACAATCTTTTATTATTCTTAATTAATTTATCTTCTTTCTGTCAAAAGAAGACATCTAGTTTGGCAGATGCTTGATTGTAGAATGCTGATAAGGTTGATCATTTACTCAAGTGTTTGATTATATGTTTTTCTGTGTTGAATTGATCACTGCAATACAAATATGCTCTTATGATATGATGCTTTCTGTGTATAATTAATCAAATTTCTTATTGTTGCAGTTGGTGCTGAGATTGACACTGATAAGATGGAACACCTGCTGTCCCAAGTGAGTGGCAAGGACATCACTGAGCTCATTGCTGCCGGTAGGGAGAAGTTTGCTTCTGTCCCTTGCGGTGGTGGTGGTGGTGTTGCTGCTGCAGCAGCTGCCCCTACTTCTGGTGGTGCTGCTCCTGTAGCTGAGAAGAAGGAAGAGAAGGTGGAAGAGAAGGAAGAGAGTGATGATGTAAGCTCACACAGCATTGTTCATGTTTTCTCATGACCAAGTACCTTATTTCATGTTAGTTTGTGATTTCACTACAAATGCCATCATGGTTTAGTCTTATTTTAGGCACCAGTCTTAATAACACTGATCTATTAAACTGAGCTCGGCCACTTACTGCTGTTGAACATTTATTTGCAGGACATGGGCTTTAGCCTGTTTGACTAAGTGCTGTGACATATCGTTATCATCAGGGCAGAGGAAACCAGTCATGATGTCCGAATTTTAACCTTGTAGGAGACTATGATACTTAGTATGTCAGTGTTGGATGTTATGTTGGTTGGTTTGCTGCTGAACCAAAGTTTTGCTACCCTATCTCGATGTTTTATTATGAATTGAGTACCTTGCTTCAGCAATGAGCAATGTTGCATGGTTATTTCTGTTCTTTTTCTATCTGTCTCAATTCATTCAGTTCTTCGTGATTGAGATGGACTAATTTGACTCGTTTAATTCTTGGTTGACAGTTTTAATATAATTTGTTGCGATTGTGACCCATTGCTGATATTTTATGTAATATCTTTGATTTGGCTTTATATCATGTTCGCTTGATCGTCAGTCATGTTTATCAGCCATGATACAATGTTTTTTTCTCACAATAAAACAGCATCAGTCGGCTTATAAGCCACAGAAACGAAGCGAACAGGGTGATCGAGACTATGATCTTGCCTCCTTGGGATACAAACCTTAGTTGAAATATAGATTTGCCTATTGAGACTATGATCCCGCAGCATGTTTCGGCCGGTTTGCCTGGAGCATACCAATACGAAACAATGGGCCTGTTTGTGTTAGTAATGCAGAAATTTCATAAAAAAATTGTTGATTTAACTTGAATCAGTTTGAATTCAAAGAAAATGTAGGAATAGATTTTTTTTTCAAGTCTTCCAAACCAGCCCACGATCCAGAAGTAGTTATTAGGACGCTACAGTGTATTGTGGTTTTTAAAGACCTGTCCAATAGAAAAAAAAAACCTCATCTACGTTGTGTGCGTCTATTTTGTACCGTGTAATTCTCAAAAAAAAAATATTTGGTAACATGTGAGGTCTATTTATCATCCGATAAACCTCTCCTCTCCTACCTGTTTCTTTCTCTCGTAGCGCCACATCTCACATCTACTCTCTTAGCATTTGTCCAAATCCTTAACGCAGGATATCTTGTAGCAGCTTTTGCCTTAAAATGTCAGTGGGAACGTGCTACAGTAAAATGTAAGGAATTGTCAATTTTTTAAAGAAAAGTAAGGAATTGTCAAGTTTACTCCAAGGCTGGACTCTGTATATATCTACGTGATGTTTAGAATGATCCTGTCCAAAACGATGTTCTGTGATTAGAAGAAAACTTATTTGAAGTTGATATCATGTAATGTGGTACAGTAATTTCATATGGATACTATACTTGATATAGTTTTGTTTTCTTAGTTCTGATGAGCCTCTTCATGTCTTCTAAAGCCAGATGTGGCCGATGTCCAGTTTCTTGTCTCTGTAAAGATCTCATCAGCGGAAACTGCAGGGATGGAGATTGTTCTGGGACGATGAAACTGCACACTGCTTTTCAGGATCGAGTCAAGCGATAGGGATTGTTGGCGTCCAAGTAATTGTCAGTTCTGCGGATATATGCACTCATCTGCTATGTGCTAGGGCATATTCTGAACATTATAGTACTACCGGTACCAGGGGCGGATCCAAAGGGGGCTGCCGGGGCTACAGCCCCATAGTGAGCCTGATTTCTTCATTGGACCATGATTACTTAGCTTCAAATCACTATTACTCTTTGGCAACGTATCAGGTACAAACCAACTAACATGTGCAAACTTGGAAACTACCAATCAGGACCACTAGATGAGAGGTGGGATTTTTTTGCGCTTAAGCCCCTCACCCACCGTCCTTTTTTTTTGCGCTTAAGCCCCCTCACCCTATCCATTGGATCAGCATCCAGTAGTCCTGATTGGTAGTTTACACATATTGGTTGGTTTACACATAATATGTTGCCTTAATTTTTAACTATAGCCCTAAATCTTCATTATTATTTAGTCTTCTTTTTTTCCATCGTGCATCCGCCACTGACCGGTACCTTTTTTTAGGATTCATAGATGATCCAGATTCGAATGCTTGAGCTCTGGTTCTTCAGTTCCGTAAGAGAGCTTTTCCATCCAAAATGAGCTAATTGAGAACGATGCCACAATACATCGCTTTTTCTGAAGGGTAGAAACCGCAGGTGAACTCTTTGCGCGCGCTTATCATTGGAGCAACAGGCGTCATCCACGCTCATGTACTGGGCATGCGCAGGCGGGCCTGTAGCCTGTAAGGAGGCTCTATCTCTGTTTCTGAAACTCAAATGTCTGTTGTTGCTGTTGCCCTTTCACAGCTGCCACAGCATCTTCGGAGTTCTTACCTGGACAATAAAAAAAAAAGTGGTCCTTGACACGGTAAGATTCACCTGAAAAAAAAAACATGCTGCCCTTCTCCATCGAAGCAGTTGCTTCACTTGTTGCTGTCCGGATGCTGATTCTTCAGCCATTCGGCTGGTGCTGAAACGATCGTATACGATCGTGGATTATTACTGCTGGCTGGTTTGGTGTGAGAGAAAAATACTGTTCTGGCTGAAAAATTTACGATCGTTTACGTCCCATTCCTGGCTGGTTGATGATTGCCTCGCTCCATCATCCCTTTCCCGTCGTCTTGACGACTCACCACACGGCAGCCTGCTGTGGTTACGCATCTCCTTCCTCCTGTCCTGGGATACCAGGGTCCGGACACACGCACGGAACACGCGTGGACGGACGGTCCTTTGCTGCCCAAGTCACACGGCTTTTACGGCCGCTGGCAGTTGACACCGGCAGCGTCAGATCGCAGTCGCGGCGTTCCACCTTGAGCAGTTGAGCCACATAAACACGTTCCCGTACCGGCGTACCGCCACCGATCGTGTCTCTTCTTTATCTCTCGCGTCTTTACAGCGTGAACCGGCGCGCGGTAGTTCGGCGAGATGAATGCGGCAGGGCCATGGGCCCGTAGCCGTAGCACCCGTTTAAAAGCCTCGTATCGTACGTACAAAACCGGCGTTTGACGAGCTGGTATGACCGGCACCGGCAGTAGCTCTTGGTTTTGCGGCTACTAGGAGTGAGTAGATGAGAAAAGTTTGGGGAGAAATTTGCCGAGTCGAGTCTTCGTCGTAGACTCGTAGGTAAGGTAAGTAAAGGGTGGGGTGGGTCAGTGGGTGACGACGTGACGTGTCTGTGTTTGTGTTGACCTGTGTGGCCCGGCACGGCACGGGGAGCCGGTGGCCCTGCCCGCTAACCACCTGCTCCGTGCATGCTGATGCATACTAGTAGGGCATAGCATCGGCATTAGGCCCTAATCGGCATAGCCGAAGGAAACCTAGGGGTCGCCAGGAATGGGACGACGCACCACGGACGGATGGGCCCTTTGCCTTTGCCTTTTTGCCTTTGCCGTCACGAACAAAAGGAACATGAGCGCGGGCCCGCTCGACTGTAGCGCGACAGTTGAAACGTCACGTTGATGATAGCGGATGCATTTAGCTTCTGACTGGTGTGGTGTTCTGTTTCGTTCATCTCGCGCTGAAGGGTGAGGAATGGCCGGACGTTGTGGTACAAATGCACGGCACGGCAGGTCGGCGGTGCCGATTGCGCACTGTTCCGCTTCCGCCCCACCTCGCGAGTCGCTATAACGGAGGGGATTATTGGATACGCACGCCCTCCTGTTCGTTCGTGGGCTGTCCGTCCCGGCCGGATCGGGGCAGGTGCAGGTGCATCCACGCCGGCCGAAGCGATAGGCCGATTGCGAGACTGTTCCCGCCATGCTTCCGCCCCACGTCGCCTCGTGTCGCTCCACGGTCCACCCCGATGGAGACTTTGGCATTTCACCCTCATACGCACGGTCCACTCCTGTTCGTTCGTGGGCTGTCTGTCCCGTCCGGATCGGAGCAGGTGCAGGTGCAGGTGCATCCACGCCGGCCGAAGCGATAGGCCGAGAGCGAGAGATCGAGCCCCGCCATGTGTGTGTGAGCGGCGGGCTCCACGTACATGGCCTCGTGTCCGTCCACGGTCCACCCCGATGGCGAGCGAGAGAGCGTATCGAGCCGGGCCTCGGATACCTCTGCAACGGCACGTGACGATGTGGAGAGACGAGGTGGACACATACGCAGGCAGTAGGCACCGTCTCCATCGGCATCGGGGAGGGAACAGCAGGGGTGCCGAGAGCGTGCGTCTCTCTTGTCCGCATCCACCGCCAGCTTACCGATGCATCCATCATCCACGCACGCAGTTGCCCAGTACTGCTAGCTAGTAGGGAGGAGGAGGAGGAGGAGGAGGGAGGCTGCTTGCGGCGGAGAGGAGGACGGCGGGGACGGGCGCGAAGGAGAGCCTTAGGGGGCTCCGTGTGGCCAAAGTGCGACCAGTGTGAGGCTGCAGGAGGAGCAATGGCAGGAGGAGAAAGCGCCGCGTCAAAATGTATTTCGTGTTTTATAATGTGTCCATTTTACGGATAAAAAGTACGAAACGTCGAAATCATGAAATGCCAAATCTTACCCCGATGGCGAGCGAAGTTGCAGGGGCTTCGCTGCAGAGTGTACGTGTGACGAGATCGCATACGCGGCGGCAGGTGCCTCTCCAGGCATCGCCAGCAGCAGCAGGGTGCCGCCGACGCCGTCGCCACGCCATCCACCGCAAGCTTACCGTGCGATCATCCACCGTGGCCCCAGTAGCTACTGCCGGCGCCGCCGTGTCCCGTGTGGCGTCGAATCAGAACATGCACGAGAAGCGCGCGCTTCGCTTTCGTACGACGATATCGTGCGGCGGCAGTTCCCAAAATTTTCAGCAGCAGCAGCATCGCCACGCCACGCCACGAATTATTTTATCACTGACCGTGGCCGCCACTGCCGGCCTCGTGCCGTGCGCAACTGCGCGCGCTTTCCGGCCATATGTGTAGTTCCCAAAATAAAACTTATCACATCGAATTGGGTGAGAAATTGTAAATATGAGCGAAAAACAAAACTTTTGCGAACATGAGAAATGTGAGGCCAAAAACTTTCGAATTAATTGGTCCATAATTAGACAATAATTACTAAATACAAACGAAAGTGCTACAGTAGTCAAAACCAAAAAATTTCACCATCTAAACATGCCTTCAGTGTGACCCATTTGGCATTTACAGTTGTTG